TAACAGGGCCTATTTTTCTGTCTGTACACCAACTGACATCTGTCCAAATAGGTATCAGAGGCTGGAATAGAGACGGCCTAACTTTAATCGATGGCTTGTCGTTAACTGTAAGACATAAACCGGACTTTAAAAAAAAACATCCCATCGTCTAAATGAAAACCTTAAAATATGAACTATTTTAGTCCTTTTCAGATAAAAAAAACCTAATTAAAAGCGAATTTCTTTGATAAATTAAACAGGTTTAGTTCCTTATATTCTTTTAATATCAATAATCAAGAAAGAAAGAGAGAGAGAGAGAGAGAGAGAGTCAGGACGACCGATATTGTGACCTGCCATACTTAGACTGCAGTAATGTTTATAAATCAGATATAATTCCTACCTCAAATCGATGTGATATTGAACCAACTGACAAGAACTTATCTCATGCTACCGACGCCTGTTTCGGATGTGCAGCCATATCAGGACAGACGGTCGTGAAACCGGGAAAAACTTTCCTATGTAAAGACAAACTTCATTTTCTTAGTCATGGTGCATGTAACCATAACACTTATATTTGGCACACACCCTTTTCTGACTGTAACCCACTAGGTCAACTAGATGTAAATGTTCCTTACGTAAAATAATGTTTTAATAATATAGTGTTCTTGTATAAATTAAGTGGCCCAAGGTTAAATGTCAGTACTAGTATGCGTATTAAATATTTCATGGTAGAATATCCCTTAAACGTTTTTAAAGTAAACAATAATCAATGACGCACATTTCAGCCATGACATTTTCAATATGTGAATCTCCGTGTTCTTGAACTATATAAGTTAAAAGTAGAAATATTAATGATTTGGCTACATGTTCAACCACACATTTTCCTCGTTAGTTTGAAAGAATTCAAGGTAATATATCTGCTGAAGGCTATTTTTGTCCTTTGGTTAAACTTTTTCATCAATGACGTTAACAGAACCGCCGCGCGCTACCAAATTCACCAATGGAAGGCTTGAGGCACTACCAATCCTGAGAAACAATTTTAATAAGAAGAGTACCTGATCACCCTTCACCCAGTAAAAGCGTGGCCTAAAAATAACCGACAAAGAGAATTGGGCCAGTGTTTGAGATATATTTAGAATCACACAACCTCAACCGCTGAAGGCAACGGAAAATGAGTAATCAGACTTAAAGTCAGTAGGTCAACCATTGCATCACTCTGCATTATTCAGTTCAAATTTCAACGGTCAAAAACCTCGAGTTGGCGGCTTTAGAAGACTGGTTATGAAAAAAAAGATCGATACAAAACTACATGAACATAGAATATAATGTATAGTTTTAGATTGTTAAATAACCAGACATGGAAAGCAGAACAATATATAGGAAGATGTATGCGAAGCTGCTATTCAATGGTGTTTTTATGTTCTGTAAGACCCATCACAGACCTATAAAATACATTTACCACAAATTAATGTCGCTTTCTTTTTTTATATTACATTATTCATTGTGTGACATTAAATAATGTTGAAACCTATATAATTTTCACAGTTCCAATTATACATTATCTATGGCAAAAACGCAAAGAGAGTCCATATCTTCGATTTCAATCCCGATTTGATCAACAGACCGTAAATAAAAGTTAAAATCTTCAAACTGTGATCTTTGTCACGTTTACTGGCTATGTCACGACTATTATTTTGTATTGGTTAAAGACATTAACACAAAAATATTGTCCAATGCTTTAAGTTTCAGCGAACTTAAAACTGCAGAAATCCTGTGTTAATCAATAGATTATTCACACTGGAATTATGTCATACATTCCTAATAAAAGCCTTGCCCTTAGCAAAGTTGCAGCTCTTTGTCCCGTCCGTAGAATGTTTCAGATCAATAAGACCGACGGTACTGGTATGTATCCCGGACCTCCCCAACCAGTTGGACCATTATAATAAAGAAATACTTGATATTTGAAATTCCGAGGTTGTCATCTTTCCCTCTTCAGCTTTGAAAATTATGAATGAAAATTAATAGTACGCCTAAGCCAAAAAAAAAACTGAAAAAAAAACATCTCATTGTGATGCCCTACACCAAAGAAACTGTAGAAAACATCATAAGATCATAGATTTACCGGCATTCTTAGTTTATAGCACCTGAAGTGTAGGATTTTAAAAAATTCAATGATTCATGCTTCACTTGATTTTCAAGTAATAGTATAAATCAAGTAAATATCACAGTAACTATGAAATAAAAATGTTAAATCATGAGGAGCGAAACAAGTTAGGCTATAGAAGTAAGAAATGAAAGGGATCCAAGGCCTGCGGAAAAGGTTTGCAAATAGCTTTATGCATACAATGAGACCCATGCGTACGTGAGGTGAGGTGAGGTGAGGTGAGGTGATGCATTATTCGATATTTAAACCATAGAACACTACCATTTTCTTATCGTGATTGATAGTTATATCTGAACAATCTGGTTTTTCAGTCATTTCAAAACTTTTTCCACAGTTTTAGATAAATACCTAAAACAAAACCCTATTGTGTAACACCAAAGGCATTTTGATATATTTGTAGTATCCGTAATTCGCACTGCACTGCCCATTATTTCATTCGGGGGAAAATATCCGAATAGAATAATACATATCTCAGGTAGTTTTGTCCAGATTCAATCCAGTGCTTCCAATCCGAGGTTATTGCGTCTGTATAAGACAATGTTTTCCAATTGAGAATCCCATCCAGACTGGGATAGAATGCTTAATAATTATTTTACCGAAAACTGAATTTCGTCATATCCTGGATCCTGGTTATTGATTTTTTTTAAGTGAAAATCATGTGGTAGATTTTGTCATGTTAATTTCAAAATATAGTTTGACAGGACAAAGCGGAAATCCGGGTATGTCCCCAAGTCTGTGTGAACACAATCTAATCAAATTGGATTCTTCTTGCCAGTGAAAGGGATACACCGATTGTCTGGAAATTATGTCAAAGCTGATTTACCCTAAATATACAAATGGGCGTCTGGATTGTTATCTATCCTCTTCAATTTGGTAGACACGATCAATAAATTGACAACGTATCTATTTTATATCATAGGCATATCTTAGAATTGATTTATTTCTGTATTGATGTTAAAGGGAAGATCCGCCATTTGGGGAGGGGGGGGGGGGTGATTTGGGACATGAATATATACTGAAAAGTGAGTAAGCACCTGACCCCGGTTCTGGGAGGCGAGACGATTTCGAACGGTATCAACACTGATGGGTTGTGGATGGTGGCCAATGGTCTGACGAGCTGTATGTCGCTCTGGTGAATCTATCATGCAGATGTTGTCGCAGGATAAAGCGATCTTGTCTTGACTCGTGTTGTGACTCGGGAACGACCACTACGTGGCGGTCATCAGTGCTGTTGGTGGTGTTGTAACGAATCCGAAGTCTCTGGTTCGTACACTACAGTTAATTGCATTGCCAATGAATTGAGCACGTTGTCCGGCATTAATTCGTTCGATGGCTTGTTCACGTTGTTTGGGGGTTAGACGTGCCATGAGCTCACTGTCTTCACAGCGACTGAATTCACTGTTGACGTGAGTTTTTTGTTATACAGACCTGTGGTATGTGTTGCACATGCATTTCGATTTTACTCCGCATCACTTACAACTTGCTCCATCAATGCAACCGATATTATCAGTTGAATGTTATAAACTGGCCTTTTTTTAATTTCTATTGATGTTCTTTCTGTAACAAGGGTCTCAAGAAAAGATGACTCGTCTGTGTAACTTTAAAACGCTGACACACATCGATTTGAAGGCTCAAATTACGACGGTGAGCTGTGGACACTATTACTCATTGGCTTAGCTAAAGAATTTCCACGTTTCTGAGACTAAGGTATGATTGGTCAGAACATGGCGCATCTGTCCCTTTAATGATTCAGATCTGTGGATCTGTTAATAATCGGATACGATAATATTTACAGGCTCCAGGTTATGAAAATTCATTTTCCCTAACCAGTAGGAATCAAGATAGTGCATTTACTTTGGGAGAAGTAACCTCCATTTCCCATAGAGAAATCACCATGTTACAATGAAAATAATTTATTTGTAATAAATATCCTAGTTAAATGATACTAAGAATAAATACACGAGAAGTTTGGACACATTACTTCACATAAATAGAAGTCACACCCCTTGCAGAGATAAATTATTAATAAATTACATAATGATACATGGAAATAGCAGGAAAGTAGTCTTACATCTCAACGTTAGATATACATAGGCATCTTCAAGTCGAGATGGCTTCAAATCCACTTTAAAGATGAGCTACTTTCTTAAGAAATGTGGTGTTAATGAAAATAATTATTAAATGATTTAATTAAATATTCCATATACAGCTTTCTCTCTTACATAAAACAGATACACGATGACTGCAAAAGACACCTCTTATTTTCAAGAGCCATGCATAATTTAAAATGATATGCGTTCCACATGCTTGAACATACAAATTCATTTCTGAGTTAAACAGCCATGGATGATGGATGAACAATTTGACAAATGATTTATAATTTAGTTTTCATTATGTGTTATAAACATGAGAATCATTTTCCCCTTAAACTGATCCCATTTTATACAACACTAACACCTCAAACTATAAAAAATTACAAAATACCAGTGTTCAAATTCAAACATTTTCAAATTATTCAAATCGGTATGCTAAATAAATTTTGTGAGAAGAAAGCGATTAATATATGATTGGAACACAAAGTCATGATGGAATGTTCATTTGACGCTTTAAGAGTTCAAAAAATATTTGCCAAAGATCATGAGAACAATGTCTCTAACTTTCTTTGACTTTCATCAGCCAAATCTGACAGAATTTCCTCCGTCCAATTTCCCACAAAGATTGAAATTCTCCCATCAGCAAAGATACTGTACAGTATCATTGACCATTCCTTTCCCGTCAACAACTGCGCACGATAATCCATATATCGGCTGCTGATCAAAATAAACTTTCTGTCACCAAATTGTCTTTCATGTTCATCTCAAATGCTCTGTAACATTTCTTTAAGCAGCACTTCCATGTCAGTATTACGTGTTATGTGCTGACAAAACAATGTTTCAAACATTTTACTGTTGGTTCCATATAAGGTTGGCAAGCATAGAAGTAAATGTGAATAATGCATGACGTCATTGGGTCGGGTCAGTCTGACATGTTCTTGGAGTAATTGCTGTACTGTTGAGTTGAGTTGATCAATAATATCCGCTCTATCTAATCCAATATAACCTGCAAGTACAGAAAATAAAGCAACTTTGAATGTATGTTCCTTAAAAAAATATCGCTACGCTACACATGTACACAATAAACATAATATGCGGGTAAAGAATGGATTTAATTTGATACATTTATCGTTTAAGAAAGTCCCAGCTGGGCCTTTGAATAATATAGTTAGTCTATAATTCCATGACACGCACAATTACATGGCAAAATCTACGTCCTAGGTTAGTAGGTTATTAGAGTGAAACAAAGGAGTAATTTGAATAATTTTCAACAGCATGTCGGTTTATATATCATCGATTAGACATAAATCAATACAAATTTCATTTTATTTTTAATTTAAAAAATCACTGAAATCGTATAAAAGTCAAAACTAATCTACATTGAATTCTAAAGCGCGATTGTCATATCAAGTAGTAAACATGTTGATTTCCGCATATATAAACTAATATTTGTAATTAGTAATGTCTATTTACAGAGAGGGTTCGAATAGTGACGTAAATTGAGAGAATTTCAAGGATGGTCATGGATTTCAAATTCACTTTTATTTCCCTTGTCGACTAAATTTAGAATGTTTCTCCGAATAGCGTCCCAGACTTGGTTATATATACATGTACATGCGTGTACTTTCTTGATTAAGATTTTCCAAGTAAAGAAAAGACAAGTAGTTTATGTCGTGATTAACATTGAAAAGAAAGTCTACGTCAGAAATCATACAAAGTCACGTTTTTTACAAGAAACTGTGTCTCTATATATTATTAATAGTAGTCTAAAAAATGTAGTGCGTTAACCTTGAAAAGGACAACATTCTTAAAGTTTTGTCAACCGTATTGTACTAGTGTTGAAATAAACTAAACTCGACCTTGAGTTGTACCTTAGATATACTTAACCCTCGAAATTCAAGGTAAAACTAACAAGTCTGAATGACAATCGAGATCAAATCAATACTGAGACGGATTCCAGGCGTACGTAACCTAAACGTCCTGTTTACTTGTTCAGATTTGTTTACTCGAACCAAGATAACTGATAAAGATAACGAACTGTACTCTTACTTCAACTATATTGAAGGTCATCTAGATTGTCATACTGTGACAGTCAACTTTTTGACGATACTTTCGGCAAAATTGTGATTTTTAATAAATAGCTTCAATATATTCAAAGTCTACAGTTATTCGTCTCAATTTTTTTTCAATAATTTTTTGTTACAAAGCGTGGTTTTAAATATTCTTTTTATTATCAAAGCATTATTTTAAATTTGATAAAGTTCAGTGACAGAAAAGTACGTCGCGGTCTATTTCATTTAATGTCATTTGGATAAGTGCAATGTTATCATGACCCGCACAATGAAATCAGTACAAGGATATTGTTCCGTTGAAGATTTAATAAGGCAGTTGACCTAGTTTCTATTTTAGATAACTTGGATTATATTTTTCAAAAATGTATTTCAATTTTAAGTTCATTCATGTAATGACCTTCTAGCTCAATTCTTGTTCGCGTACTTTAATGATGTCAATTACAGATACGTCACGCGCCTATTAAACGAAAGAAAAATCAATTCCAGCCACATTGGTCCTATAGAGGGAACAACGCCATACCGCTCGTGCCATAAGCCATTAGGCCATATTAATAGATTTAAGACATAGATGCGTCATCTGACCGACTTAAAACGTATTTGACCTAATTCCTGGAATGCGTTCACTAGGGAAGGTCATGCAAATTAACCTTTGACCGGACACTGATGAACTTCTTAGTCCAGCAAGTTGTTGACCTCGAGATCACGCCTGAATGCGTCCATCACGAGATGACCGATTGACCAGCTATCTGACCGCAAAGTACTTTGACCTTTATTGTTCATAATTAAATAGCTTGTAAACAAAATTTGCTAGCCTTTAATATTGGCTAGAGGTTTTACCAGGTTGAAATGAGGACAGACGGCAAGAGATGAACAAGGACTTGAGAAATCCAAAACAAAGAAATTTTAAATTTTTACAGCAATCCCCTTTTCAAAAAGATATGAATTTCAGTTCATTTTTTCAGAAAAATAAATCATACTGGCAAAATTTGTCAACCTTTTTTAAAATAGAGATGACGTAATTACAATTTAATTGTTAATCCCTGTTAACTTTGAAATAAAAAGAAAAGATCACTCACCAGAATTGAAGAGAACCAATAATCTCAAGAACGAATATTCTTCACTGTCGATGTTCAAATGTTGACATTTCCTTATAAATGTTTGGATAGATTCTACACTTTTCATGCTAGGCTCATCTGGTGATGCAGGAACGGGCTCTGTTGGGACAGGAGAGGACGGCAGTGGTGTGACGGCAAATTGAAAGTTATTCTCAGCCATAAAAAGCAAAAGAATTTTACTCCAGGAATTGAGTATCAGAGTTACTTTGTCATTATGAGAGAGATTGCAAAATTCTGGAACGGACTTGGCGAATTGAATAACTTTAACTAACCAGTCTGATACACGAGCACTGACGGGCAACATGTTCTTTTTGGCAAGAGTCACCCTACTACTTCCACTACAATGGCTTGAGAGAAAGTCTTCCTGTGGTGAACTGCATCTAGAATCCGATAGTTTATGGCTTGGTCTTCCAACACTTAGTAAATTTCTTAACATTGAGAATTCTGAGTTCTGATCCGAGAGGACTGGCGAAGATCTTTGGTGAGTATTGTCCAAAGATGCATTAGGAACTATATGAAAAGTTGATTTTTTACATGAAAGATCCATCGGTTCGGTTTGATCCAATGGTGCCATCTGTGGAATAGGTTGATGAACTGTAGGTGATGTTTCTGTATTGTGATATCTTTGTGATGAAGTAAGATGGGTATAAGCAGCAGGTACTTCTCCCATTAAAACAGAGTGTAGAGTTTTCACGGAACTGCTGGTTGAATTATGAGATGGTCTTTTCTCTGGGACCACTGGTGGTGATCGTAACATGGGATTATATGAGTAACAGCTATAAGTTTCTCTGGAATTTGAATACGATCTAGGATAAGCAGATGGGTGTAATCCTCCAATTGGGTAACCGTATATAGATTCCGGTTGGTACATCACTTCCATTTTAAATAAAGCTAAAAGTAGAAAAAAAAAGAAAATGTAAGTCCAAGTTCAAAACCTCTTTGTTCGCTTTCGTGGCGTTTCTTAAACACAATCTTAATATACTAACAGTTTGACTTCAAGTAACCTTATATAATAGAAAATATTCTTACCTTTAGTAGTACACAATAAAAATAAAAGTTCAAAGACTACTCGTGTGTTATCCTGTAGATGAATAGAGAGAGTGAAACTATCTTACTACCACGGCTGTTATAAACCTTATGAATGAGTCGTGATACTGAACAAAGTATACACGCGCATGCCAACCCTACTGCACTGAGTGACTGACTACGCAAGCCAGTCGGGCGGTCACATCTCACTATTTATAATCCTTGCTTACGTCATTCCCGGTTGAAAATATGTGGCCTTGCCCAAACTACATGTTCTTTGTGTGCAGTTTCTTCTCTTAAAATAGAACACAGGTCGGCCTATGAACTATTACCACGAGACATAACTAATATAGAATTATTTGCCAAAAGACGACTTATTCATGGAAATTCTTATTTTTAGTCTTGTGTGGGATTATTCATATATAATTAACTTATGCAAAGGTCGACGTATTTTCCCGTTTTACCTTCCTAATTTTAATCATGAACACACCGAATGAAATTAAAAAATAATTCAAATTCCCCTATTCTGTATCCTGTTTCTTTGTTTAAAAAAATTTCCTCTTCAAGTAAAGAAAATATTTATAAATAAAAAACTTTTAAATTTATTTTAAGAATTGAGATTAAATTCTGCACTTACCTATAAAGCACAATGTTATTTTGAGTAATGACTTGCGCAGTACACAAAGGTTGATACATATAATATACTATTAATATAAGTATATGGTATACTGTAAACAACGTCTGCTTCAACCAATATAGTAAAGCCGTTGTTGACTTGCCGATGAACAAAGACAAACTAAACTCGTGTCTATGAAATAAATTGGTCTCAAATTATGAGATGCGTAGCAAGTATACAACACAGAGTACATTAGTCTGTAACGCACTAAAAGATGACCTTGAATAGATCTTACTTCCTTGAACGAGGTCAACTACCACTACACGAAAATAAACCTATTTATTGTCTTAGTATTGGACAGAAAACTCACAAAAATTGGTTGCTATATCGTAATTTATCAGAAATGAAGACAAAGAAAACGAAATATGGGAACCTTTGTTCAAATTTCGTCTTTATTCAGATCTAGGTCAGTTTAGAAATCCCATTTATAAATCAAAATGGGCGGAGTATTCTAAAGATAACTCAGTGACGTAGACGTCCTTGGTTTGTCAAACAAAGCCACGTGCTCAAGTTTGACCCACATATCGTTCAGCAGTGGGAGTGGAACCTAAATTCTACATCACGGGTCGCGTTCGATTTACATCAAATATATTGTGCATTTTAGTGTAGGCCTATAGGCTCTAATTGGGAGCATATATGTCTATTTATATATAAAAACATATTCTTGGTGACCTATTTCATTCTCATAATATCTGAAATGTAGGTTAATTCAAATGAAAGGGAGAATATTGGTCTGGCTGAGTTAGTCACGTAGTCCTAAGTTTTATGAGTCATGGATTAATTGACCTTGTCAAAACACTTCACGAAAATGCACATAACATTCCCAGAAATTAGAACATACGAAATTTTAGAGAAATTAAGAATCATTTGCTCTCTAGTTGTGTTCAATATATATAGATTGATAGATACCCTTTATTACCCTACACCCTATAATAAACAGTGTTCATTCTGTATGATCAACAATTTACCAAAACACACAATAGCGCAAGCTCCAAAAATTGTACTTAGTAGGCAACAGATATTTATTATATAATTTCCAAAAAATGTTTTGAAAACCCTATGACAATCGTTGGGTTAAATTATGTGCTCAAACTCGAGTTTTGAGATAATAACCCCACCTTTACGCACCACAAAATTGAAGAAGTCCTATTAACCTCTGTAGGTTACCACGCCGTGTGAATGAACCTTCTGAACTTAAAATAACTAAGCAATGCAAACGAACAATGTAAGGGACATAATTCGGATTTTTAAACTTCAAAGTGAATGACGTCATCGGTAATATATCGACTGATCGCGCGTCCTCTCACTAGGTCGTTCACGTTCAATTATTTGAACATGTTTAAAAGAAGCATGCTGTACTTTAATTCGTTATTGAACATTGATGTATGTGATGTATTGTCACGTAGTTGTGCAACACTAGGCAGCCTACTTGGCATTCCTTAAGCAACAAAGGTACTTTAAAATGAAATAATATATATATATAAAATACGACATCGGCTAAATATATTGCTTATTTGATGTCTAGTAAGAGTGGTCATTATTTGCCCCATAGAAAAAAAGACCATAGTTACGGCCCTGCCTTTAGGTATTAGCTTTTTTTAGCTTGATAAAGACGATGGTGTGTATCAGCGTCTTACCGTCGCAAGAAATTTATTCGTTATGGTTTTTAATTTATTTCAACATCGTATCTATATATTATATATTTCATACATTAGAATTTAATTTGGTACACCAATATCAGAATAACACATCTATAATAAGGTCTAACCCTTCTCTTGGATTTCCTTTCATTATTATTACTTAGAACAACTGGGTATAATATCATTTTATTCCTACAATAATAAAATATTTTCACTGTTAAAATAGTGCTGCTCAATACATCAATTTTAGAGCGATGTGGACATTTTAAAACGTTTCATATCTTATATCTATATATTAATGTGTCAAATGAATTGAAAGTGGGATTTATAAGACACGATTACACGAGTAGGCTCCCCTTGTATTTAAATGGACCGTTGTAGTAAGATATAATTGTGATATGAATAATAGTTCTGTTCCTATTACGTATTATATTATGTGATTGTTTAAGCTGTAGGTGACATGTTCAGCTGCAAAGCCATGCAGGGTGACATTATCATTTACCTTTGATAAATGCACTTGGTTAAATCTGAAAACAGGGAGGAATATAGGAAGCAATTTAATAGTCACATAAACAATAAGCGATACAATCTACAAATACGCCACACGTCTTGAACTGATCAGTGGTTAGAAAGACGAACGTCACCCTAAAGCCCTAAACGTTGGGTCCTTCTTATCCTGTTTCCTACATTGAGACGCGAGATGTTATCAAGAATCAAAAAGTTATACTTTTAAAGGGATAGTCTGATTTATTTAGTAGGTTGTGACAGTTTAATGAACCTATAGACCAAACTTGACTAGAAAATTGTGCTCTTACATTATCTGAAGGTTTATAATTAACGGTATCTTGCAGTTATTTTTTAGAATCAATTTGAAAGGTCAACGTAGACATCCTACTTTTCTATAGGTTTCAACTAAAAATATTGAGCTGTTAAAGTCCAAATTAGCACTCTGCGTTTTTGTAGTAACCTTTAAAAACAAATATAAGTTGATCAAGGAAATAAATAGAAGTATATATCGCAAATCTTCACGCATGTGATAAACAACGTTTTTTTTTTTTTTGGATCAAGAAATTCTTGCATACCCTACTGCCCTTTTAATCGTAGATCAAGCTATAATTCTGAAAAGATCCAGGGGTAAAAGTCAACATAAATCTTTTCCACTTTTGGGTACATCCATGGTTAATAAACAATATTCACCACAATATTTGCCACAGAGTATTTCTGGAAAAGGTTTTAGAAGGTTGAATTTCGTGATTTAACATGGAAACAGATGGCAATTGAATTATCGGTCGAGTCAAGATATTTTAGATTTTTGATGGAGTTATTCTTGTTTGAAAAACATTTCGGCCATTTTCAGAAATAATTGTGGACCGACATTATGCGCCTAACTTGCATGTAAACTAACCACTGCAAAGTAGACCAAAGCCAATATCTGTCTGTTCCAGGTCGTTCAACGTTTTCAACTTAGTATGGAAGGGGAGATTTCACAAAGTCAAATTTGAAAACAAGGCCTCGACTTTACAAACTTTTCCACATAACACAATTACAAAATACATCCTTCTAAAAACAACAAGTCTATCTACTAATATTACAAACTAGAGATATTCATAGTATACTTTTCAAACTTTATTTCTCAACAATCTAAAAGTCAACATTCAAACTTTTTTTTTTTCATAACTTATGCATTATTGACATAAACAACTTTGTCTTCTTGACTTTGCATTCTTGAAAGATGTAAGTACGACCACTGTTTTCTTTAGAGTTGTAAAGTCAACTTCTGCATTCTTGAACGTTTACTATATAAGGTAATAATAATGTTCGGATAGAATAATTAATTCATGTCATGTCATGAAGTTGTTGCACCTACGCTGTCGTTTTTTCAACTTATTTTTTTTTTATCTTTTGTGACATATTCACTGTAATCGTAATGGCCATTTTAATTATGTAGTAATTTTTGGTTAA